ATCCAGCGAACATGTCGCTGCGTGATGGTGCGAAGGATGTTCAGCTGGCGGGTCCTCCGTCGGAGCTCTTCATTAGACACAAGATCGATGGTCCTGAAGACACGGGACTCGAAGACATTTTTTGCTGATGTCTCATCTCCGTATAATATCACCGGGGTGTTGTTGGTGTTGTAAACTTGTAGCTTGTTGCGTCGGGAGACATTTAGACATTTCAGTTAATCAGATGAATATCTATGAGCGTTTTCAGATTTAAAAATATCCTTTCGAAGATATCACATGATATAATCTAAGGTTTAAATGCCTAGACATTTCAGTTAATTTGTTGAATATTTATAAGCGTCTTTAAATTTAAGAAATTCCTTTGGAAGATTCTATATGACGTGATCTAGGATCTAACACCTAATCTTTTCAGTTAACCTGATGAATATTTATGAGCGTCCTTAAATTTAAAAAAAAATTGAGTAACTGTCAAGTATATACTAGTTGAAAAATAAAATCATCAGATTTGCCTTCATAAAGTCCGTCGGATGACGGAACGCGTCGGGTAAAAACTAAGTATAGTTTTTCATTTGTCTTTTCATTCATTTTGTATCTTCTACAGATATACTACGTCTGATAATATTCACACGCACACACACACATACATATGCATGTGTGTATATGTGTGTGTATCTGTGCGTGTGCGCATTTATGTACAAGTATTAAGTTTTTGATAATAGATATGACTTATCTTTTTTAAATTCGAGCATTGTCCTATTTTTTACCTGTCTACAACAATTATAAGTTTAGAAATATATATTTGGACCTACACATGCATACAAACATACTCACACGCACGCACACACACAAGCACTCGCGCGCATACACACACATACACACACACACATACACACACAACAAACCAAAGAAAAATACAACCAAACTTGGTTCAATACAACGTCATTAACCGAAGATTATTCATAAATTCGTTTATTTGCAAAAATATTCATTTAGCCAGCAGATTCATTCATTTAGTCAGCAGATTCTCTTATTTCACTGCAAGTCAATAATCAAAACAAATTAAAAGCTTAACTAAGTATTATTAAACAGAAATTTAACAGTTGACAGATTAAAATGATAATTTAACAGATTGTTGTTCCACGGATTTGATTGTTTAACTAGCGTTTATTTTTTAAACGGAGTTTGATTAACGACGAATGATTATTTAAATTGATCATACTCGACTGAATAATTTATCTAATTGTTAAAACTCATCTCAGAACAGCAATACCAGGAAAACTCATTGATCGAAACATTGTGATCGAAACAACAAAGAATGGGATACTAATCAGAATAATTAATGGACTAATTACAATATTTTCAAATAATAATTAAATATCATTAGCAAGGATAGAAATGTGACTGACACAACAAAGATGAGGATACTAATCTGAATAATTAATAGAAAAATAACTACTTCAATTTAGAATTTAAAACAATATGAGAAATGTAACGACCGGAACGTTAAGATTGAACAGAAAAGATCAAGATACTATTCTGAATAATTCTTAGAATGATTGGCATTTTTATTGTAATTTCTAGGTCAAAAGATGGCGTCCATATCCTCTGGCATAGTGGAAATGATGAAATTAAGAAATAAGTAATAGGAGTTCTCTCCCCTAGAATCAATAGTTGAAAGAGAACAGTCTATCCATTGTGGATTAAATAAAGGGTTGGTTTCGAAATTTTCAGAACGTTACAAAGTATAAGAGGTCCTTGAATAAACTCGGGGTTTACAGCGTATCAAACGTTGCAACTGTAACTGTAATGAAGTCATTGTTCTGTATTTTTAACCAAGCAAGGCGAGAATGCTACTAAGATGCAAGAGTTTATTGGGAGCGAAAGAGACTGAAAAGCCTTTAGAAGGCACCGGAAACCGAATCCTAAACAGGAAACCAGGGATAAACCTTAACTTTTGTTCAAAAGACTGGGGGTGAGTGTGAACCGGACAAAATTTAATAATAACGCGAGATTTAATCTCTCATATTCTATCCATTACGGTACTTCTTCAGTGTTTGTGTTTGTATGTGTGTGTGTGTGTAGAGGGGCATGTCAACTTTACGTTCTCGCGTGTGATGTCAGAGCGACTCTGATTCTTTGCCGCCAGGGTCGGATTTTATATATCTGCCCCCGTCGTCCAGCTTGTTCTCACGCTTTCTAGCCAGATGCAGCTGGAAAATTACGTTATTCTACACTCTGAGGCCGGGAGGTTACTTCAGGTCGACCCTGTTACACAGCTACCTTGATGGTCTAGTGTGACATTGAGTGCAATTTATATTCTGGCATGTTAAAACATAGAAAACCAGACGAGTACACCATTTCGAATAAGTTTTTCTTAGAACTTCAGAAGAGGCTGCATCCCCGATCACTACAATCTTAACATTTTCAAATCTCGGGTTAACCATTATCTTGTCCACATAAATGCATAAACTGTGCCTCTTACTCTTACCCATTTCACCCCAAGGAAGTCGATAATGCCACTAAGATGCAAGGGCTTACAGAGAGTGAAAGGGAATGAGAAGACTTTAGTGAGAAGTGAGAAAAGTACAATAAAGTAACAGTGTTCAGGAAGAGAGGAGATGATGATTAGCATTTTATTTAAATTTTTGAAGGTTGTAGGTGGCAAGGAAATCGGAAAGAGCGTTCCACAGGTAAGAAGTGCGAGAAAAGAAATGGTTAAAATATAAGTAGCTGTTTCATCTAGCTAGTTCAACAGTAAAACAGTGATACCTTTTTGCCAATCTAGTAGCACGCTTAAATTCATATAGTTGAGGTGTTAGGGAAAAAAAGCTCCTCAGAACAGTTGCCATGAAAATATTTGTAGAACAAGCACAATTTGTAGAACTAACCCTAACCCAATCACGTCACATTGGTGAGAAAGTGACTGAAATTGAGATGCCAGATCATGGACCGTTTTACATTATGGATCCTCCTTCGAATTTTGTCAAGAATCTCGAAGTATATTAAGCAACCAAATTACTGATCAAAATGCTAAATTGCTCCCAAGAGAATGCTTCTTCGGCCACTACAATCTTAACCTGTTTCAAATCTACGGTTAACCGTTATCTTCCCTACATATCCCCATAAACTGAGTCCCTTACCTCTTATTCTGTAATACTCTACCTCGAGTGGCTCCCGGGACTTGTGCATGGCGAAGATCATTATATACATCCCGCCAAAAAATCCCCCACCAAAAAAACAACATAAGATAGGATGAAGAATGCATCACTAGAAATATTGAAACAAGAAAGATAGGGATACTAGTTTGATTAATTCATTGAATAATGGTAATTCTAAAATAGTGAACAATCCTCCTGGGTGATAAAAAAAATCATAAACGTATTTTTCTTCGGGTGAAATACAGAGGATAGTTGTTTTTTTTTCTTTTTAGATTTAAGAATGAGAACTGTTGTCTTGATTAGCTTACCTGTCTTTCGGTGAGATCAAGCGCCACTGCTATTTCATACCTTCTCAACCTGGTCAGGTAATTGTGAATGGCGAATTCCTTCTCTAACTCCCGAATTTGGTGCTTGGTAAAGGCAGTTCTCTCTTTGCGTGGTTTTGTCGTTAAATCGAGTTTGTACGAAGAAGAATTATGAGAATCTGAAAAGATCAAGAAAAAAAAAAAAACGGAATTGAATTTTACAGAGATTTGTGGATGTTGATATTTCAGTCAGTCAGTTACGTGTCACACGTGATACTCACTTGAGCGATCATATATATTTCGATACAAAACTCATGAGGCGGACGATTTTTCTCTTCCCTAGGTTGCCATTTCTTTCTGTGGTAGACTGGTTGCCAGTCAAGGCTAAAGAACCCAGTCTGTTCTGCTATTTAACCCATAGCTGGGAGAAGAAGAGATTGATTCATACCTTTCCCAAGGGTATTTGTGCGTAATACCACCTCCTTTGGTCTCAGTGCCCGTTGGTGACAACAGCATTTTCTAGCAAAATCTATCACGATTTTGATTTCTTGAAATCTATCACATTTTTTTATTTACAGACACAGTACTTTCACCCCGTCTTTTTACAGCTTCAGGTGGTTGGTTTTTGGTTTCGGAGTTGTCTGGATGTGCGGGTGGTGTAATCTGTAGTGGCTAGGAATAAGAATGAGAAATCAGAGAGCCAAGTTCGAATTCCAGTTCTATTTGTTGCTTCACTTACGAGCAAATACACTTGGAAAATTAATCCCCCCTCAGATATGTGTTAAAGCGTACGATTTGTAAATAGAAAATCATTGTTATTCTCAAAAAAAAAAAAAAAAAAAAAAAGAAAGTGTAATTAGAACAATCTACCTCGTGGACTAAATAAAGGGTTCGGTTAATAATTCTGACGTATATCTTGAAGAAAGCCGGTGCGCACAACGACAGAAGTGTCGTGAATATGGCAATAAAGATGCGGACAACAGTCTGAACGATGTAAATTGTGTAAATAGTTACAATGTCTCATTTCAGAAATCTAAACAAAAAATTGTTAATTCAATATTCATTAAAAAAAAAGATATTCTTGCAAATTCTAAACATGTTTCGGCTTTAAATAACCCACAAAGGGTTGATAAACCGCACAAAATATATCAGATTTGTCCAGCTACTAAACGGGTTACCAACCACGGCTACAGAGTCCAGTCTGTTCAACTATTTGCCCCATAGCTCGGGATGAGGGAGGAAGGAATGGATTCCTACCTTTCCAAATAGTGTTTGTGCGAAAGTAAAGGTAAAGATCTCGAACGAAATTCGAACTCAGATCGACGATTTCTTGTTCTGAGACACTAACCATTATATAATCCGCATATTCAAATACAGCATAATTGAAATAAAAGTTAAAATATAGGAAGATTACGAGTGGATATGGTTTCATTTAGCTTGAACGAGACGACTGAGATATTTGTAAAAACCGTAATTATATAAGTTGCAAAGTTCGTTACAATCTGTATTTTTTTCTTTTCTTTTTCTTTCTTTCTATCTATGAGATAGATAGATAGATAGAGAGAGAGAGAGAGAGAGAGAGAGAGAGAGAGAGAGAGAGAGAGAGAGAGAGCGTGTGTGTTTGTTGTTTCCAATGTAGTAGATATTTGGTTTGTGGACACGCACGTGTGCAAACACGCGCTTAGATGTATGTACATTAGCAGACTCTTTTCTGGATTTTTTACAGAATCACGATATTTACGGCAGGAGCACCAGCCCAAATATGACAACAGTATTCAATGCACGGACGAACGGTAGATTTATAAATGTGCAAGATGGATTCTGACACGACACAGTGAACCAACTTTCCTTGCAGTAGATGTAGCAATTGATTCGATATAGTCACTTCAAGTTAGGGGAAAATGTGAGGCCAAGAAGGCATAGAGTGTTGCTCTCCCGGAGTTTAGCATCAGTTTTTGTTTTGGAGGCGTTAAAATTTGCCAGCCATATCTTTCCCCCAGTTATCCACTGATTGGAAGTCCTTTTCAAGAAAAGCAGTTGAAGGGTTTACTTTGTCAGGTTTGTTGGATTCGATAGTAAGACAGGAGTAACTGGTTGTGTCATTTGCATAAATACCTAGTGGGGAATTGATGACATCGGAGAGATCATTGATGAAGATCAGAAACAGTGTAGGTCCAAAGATAAAGCCCTGGGATCCCGCGTTAGTATGAAATGTTTTGCGACTGGATAAAGGCAAATATTCTTCCCATGACACCGAAGCCCTTGAGTTTGCGTAGAAGGCCAGAATGGCCGAGATATGTATAACCACAGCCCCAACTTTGCCTTTCTTATCTAAAGCTTGATAGACAAATTCAGTGATAGTTTTTAATACGACGGTGGTAGACCTGGCGAAACGAAAGCCATATTGTTTGCCTGAAAGGAGATCGTGCGAAGTAATTTAGCATTGATTAAAACCTCAAGTACTTTGCTGAAAAGCGATAAGAGACTAATAGTTCGATAATTTAAGGGATCAGAGGGTTCCCCAGAGTTCTTAAAAACAGGAGGACTTCGCATAAACCTGGAAAGCAGGAAGCAGTGAGGCAATTGTCGTAGAGTCTGCATAGAATTCGAGTCAGTTTAGGAGTACATTTCTCTAGGACGACGGTAGTGATCTCGTCATATCCACTTGCCATGTGGGGATCTAATTTAGAATGTATGTCAGAAACCAGTGACAGTGATATGCGCATGTCCCTCAGTAGAGCCTCCGCTCTAGGGGAAAAATCTGGCAGAGGAACTCCTGATGAGTCGAGAGTGAAGTTGGAAGAGAACTTTATTCAGTTCACTCCTGCAGAGTCGCCAGTGAGGCAACGTTTGAACTAATTACGAGCAATGGCAAAGCGACGTTTGTTACAATCAGATCTGTTGCTCTGGTATCGCCGGAAGAAGTAATTCTTGTGGCTTATAGTAGCTGAACGGGCAATTGATAACCGAGGAGATGATCGTGGTTTCATTTGGTATTTCTGTGCTGGAAAGAAGTTTCGATACCAGCTTTTACCCAGGAAGAGACCTAGTAGCATATTTAAGAACAGGATGATTAAAAATATCATTTCAAGGAAGGAAGTCACGAAGCGAGTCCCAATCAGCGCGTTGGTAACAGGAAGATATGCTGTTAATAGGATGTTCATGACTGATAAAGAGATATCTATAGATACCAGCGCATGATCGGAGTTGCCGAGATGACAGAGATGCAGAGCACAACATGAGTCCGAGTTGGGGGTAAGGAACAGATTAACTAGAGAATCGTGTCCGTCCGAATTACTGGGAAAGCGCGTGAGGAAATCTTCTATTTAAGTGAGAGATTGAGTAAAAGAGAAGTTCCACATTTTCCATTAACCAATTTTCATTCGTATTTTGTTATTTTAAATATATATATATATATATATATATATATATATATATATATATATATATATATATATATATGTGTGTGTGTGTGTGTGTGTGTGTGTATATTTGAGTGTGTGTGTGTGTGTGTTTGTGTGTATTACACTACTCATTAAGAACATTTTAGTACAATACAAGGCCAAATGCGAAGAGAGAAAATTATATTCCCCCATTTTTACAAACTGGTGAGGCACGTCATCTTTGTAAATCAGCGTTCGAAATCCTGATTTAATGCATTCAGACTCGAACATCGGTCACTAGCGCGTGATAGAAATAGACGATTACCCCAGACACCAGAAATGGTACTAGGCAAAAGATTATTTATTTATTTTCGATTAAAGTTTTAGTAAACATTATGGAAGCACATTTTCGAAACTATTTTTTCAAAACTATATTCATTTTTTAAATTAATAGATATTTCACTGGATTGCTTTAGTGACACACCCACTGAATTGCGCCATCTTGTCGATAACATGGAAGCAGGCTTCGATATGAGTGTTAGACACCTGCTTATATTCTTTTGGGGGGGGGATGTTGGAAAAATTTTAATTAAATTCTATTATATTTATTCTAAAAGCAAATAATTCCTTTCTTTAAAAATTCTAATTTTTCACCAATTGTGTCGAGAAATCACACATTCACGTACACACTCATACAGAAGACTTTATTTTAAAAAAAAAAACGAATGAATGAAACCCCGAATGAAAAACTGAAAGGCTTAAATTTCGCTATTTGTATTGTTTTTCTGCGAATGTGAAAAATATTGTTATCTCATGGTAACTAATTTTGCTTTAATAAACAAAGTCAATTTTTGTTAAAAATTTGAATTAACTATTATCAAACCACATTTATGTTATGTTTTCTGCTTATCATAAACTTAATAGAAAAGCTCATTTGCCCATTGAAATTTTCATCGTGCTCAGCAAAACATCTCAAGGAAAACGGTAACCCTAGTGACGAAATAGTAGCACGTGGATCATAGTATGAAAATAGAGTGGATTAAAATAAATATTTGTTTCTTAAACATTTTAATTATGTATTTATTTTTTTCTATTATGTAATTGCTATAAATGATAAATTTAAACAAAAAACGTTTTGATTTCATGACATTTTAATTCTTATTCGGGATGATAAAAATTGTCTTTTTCGGACGGTTCCTGGACGATGGTGTAAAATGTTAGTCTGGAACTCTGCTTAGAAGAATATTACCTAAAACATTATCTGAGTTTACCTAATGAAGTAAATGTAATTCAACAGGTAAGTAGATATTTACTTGACCCCCCCACCCACTGAGTCAGGTTGTGACACAAGGTCAGTTTTCACTCGGGTCGCTGGTCCAAGCTAGTCTTAGCTGTTCATAAGTTGTCCAAGCTGGTCTAAGCTAGCCATAGCTGTTTTTGGCTTGTCCAAGCTGGTCAGAGCCGGTCCAAGATAGTTGTAGCCCTGATACCACCAGCACAGGAATGGAGCCCTGTGCCAGGTAAGTGAGATTTACTTGACCCCCCCACTGAGCCAGGTTGTGACACAAGGTCAGTTTTTAACGTGGAGACCCGAGTGTTTTCATTCGGGCCGCTGGTCCAAGCTAGTCTTAGCTGGTCATAGCCTGTCCAAGCTGGTCTAAAATAGCCATAGCTGTGATACTACCAGCGCATGGACGGATCCCTACACCAGGTAAGTATATAAATATATAAAATATCATGCAATAAATTATGATGATCAAATATAAATTCCGTATATAAATTCCGTATATAAATTCCGTAATTACTCGAATACAGTGCGAGTTTTTATGATAAATTTTCTGGAACCGATTGCACTATACAAGTATTCTTATTTTTGGAGGAGTTAAAATTCTTGCCCCAAAATTCAAGGGTTGCACTATACACGAAGTCAGCTTATACACGTGTATATACGGCATATATATATATATATATATATATATATATATATATATATATATATATATATATATATATATATGTTTGTTTAAGAAAGTAGCTTAATACCTGAATTCTCATGACGAACACAAAGGCAACGTTGCTGTTAAAGGCAAATTAAGACCAAGGACTCATACCATTTCGCAGGTGGTAGCCATAGACATTTTGCACTAACACGTGTTCGTTGTTAACATGTGCACTTCTGAACCGAGTTCACTTGTTGACATAACGGGAGCAAAGTGGAAGACTGCTCTATACCTACCAACCAGCCAACAAGGAAAATTCAAAATGGCAGTTATTAGCATTGGCCGTGTCAACTTATAAAAGAAACGGCGTAATATCTAGACAGAAAGAACCAGGCAGGAAGAGTTGCGAACTGAGTAGGACATAGTAAGGTAAATAGAAAATAGATATGAAAAGGCAGGCAGACATTCAGATATGATCACACTGCAAAAGAAACAGACAGACAGCTACAGAGATTATCATATATATATATATATATATATATATATATATATATATATATATATATATATATGTGACTGGGGTATTTTGACTTAGTGTAATGATTATCGATGCTTCCATTATTTTTAGCCTTTTTTCATGTGATTGAGGCTATTATAGATGTCTACGAGTATGTTGTACATGAAATTTGGTAGGTTTCCCTGTTTGCTTAAATGATAATGAAAAAGAAAAAGCCAACACTCAATAACATCAACTATGAACACGGTCACAATGTGATGACTGCGTTTTGAAAATTAAAATAGACATTCCTATTTACGCTAGATACATACATAAAATCTACACATTCAGTTAAAAATAAAGATAAAAACATCCTTGATAATGTCTATGAAAATAGTCGAAAGAGCTCGGATATAAAAGGCATTTATTTGAACATTATTTTTACAATTTATGTCCAGAAAAGAAAAACTTATATGAACACAAGAAAAATTGAATAATAAAAAATCTTAACCGCAATATCAGTCGTCTTTAATGAAACTTGTATAAAAGAGGGATTGTTGTCCAAATACACAATTATTGCTTCGGTATGAAACTCAGAGTTGAGCAATCAATGTTATATATATATATATATATATATATATATATATATATATATATATATATATATATGTATGTATATATATATATATATATATATATATATATATATATATATATATATATATATGTTTCATTAAATAATATAGACAACTGTTTTTATTTATTTTATGTAAATTCTTTTCATAACGTATTGTCCGTGTAACATTATCATTAAATTGAAGAAAGAAAATCACAATCTTTGATACATATTTTTAATTCTATCTAAAGTTTAGATAGAATTAAAATATGATCAATATTATGATTTTATTTTCTTCGTTTAATGATAATGTTATTAAGCTTATCAGACGTTATGAAAAGAATTTACATAAAATAAATAAACAACAGTTGTCTATATTATTTAATGAAACATGTATGAATGAAAAATGCTGCCTAAATACACACATATATATATATATATATATATATATATATATATATATATATATATATATATATATATATATATATATATATTTTATCTGTCTTATCTGCACGTTTTTTAGAGTGATACTATCTATCTATCTATCTATCTATCTATCTATCTATCTACCGAAAAGATTGTCGTTCTGTTCAGTAATTGCAATGAAAGAGATTTCCTACTATCACACAAATCGATGTATAGATATTATCAGATTGAGACCGGCTCAAACAAAACTAAGATTGGGGAAATACAAAGAGAGAGAGAAATGGACGGAGAGGAACACAAAAGGAATAGAAAGAAAAAAAAAGGGTTAACGTTAAGAACGAGTGAAAGAGAGAGACATACAGACAGAGAGAGACGAGGAGAGAGAGAGAGAGCCAGACAGACAGACAGACAGGCAGACAGACAGTGCATCTGAAAAATTAGGGAAACAGGAAGAAAGTGGTAAAGTCTGTTAGAGGGATCATGCAGACGGGAAAGAAGTAGGTGACTGATGGAGAGAGAGAGAGAAAGAGAGAGAGAGAAAGTGTCAGAGAAAACTAGAGACAAAAAGACAGACAGATAGATAGATAGATAGATAGATAGATAGATAGATAGATAGATAAAGAGAGAGATAGAGAGAGTGGGAGAGAAAGAGAGAGAGATCAGTTTTGGCTGGTATAGTTACAGTAGACACGGATAATCGGTATATTGTATTCGTCCAGGTGGTGGCTGTTACCGATGTAATTGGGTTCATTTGAGTACACGGCATGATTGGCTCCAAATTGCATACTAAATGCGCTCATGTGTCGCCTTCTCCGTGTATACATATAAACAAAGACACGTAAACAGGCGTACTTGTACACACACACACACACACACACACACACACACACACACACACACAAACACACACACACATATATATATATATATACGTGTGCGCACATCTAAATATATACAAGCACAAGGAAACGTCTATACAAATATACATACAAATATATATATATATATGTGTGTGTGTATTGAGAGAGGAAGAGAGAGAGGAGAAAGACAGACAAACATACAGAAACGTTGTTACATGAAGGGATCTTGACGCATGCGTATACGTCAGATGGCATTTTGTGATCTCAGCTTTTTGTCCTAATTTACTGTTTTTATAGATCCGTAATGGTTACGTGTGTTGGCGTTTGTATCACTCTCAGTCTAATGTCACACCAGTAGACTTCCGCTGTCCTCAACGACTTCATAATGACAAATGCTACCCGGATTTCAGGCGGTACAAATAATGTATAGATTCATATGCGTGCGTGTTTACAGAGTTTGATGCGTCAATTCTTAGATCACAATTGGATCATGCTGTAAATGTCCGACCAGGTTGCAAGAGGCCGTAATGTATTACTAAAGTACGGTATTATCAAATGACCAAGAAGATCATTTTGGGGAGAAGATTAGGTTTTGGTAAAGCTTTGTTGACTTAAAAGAATGTCACTTTTCCGATTATCATACGCTTTTCATCAGCAGCACACGATCAAGAAAAACAGTTTTATTTTTTTTAATGAACAATTAAATGGTATTGTTAAGTTAACTTCCTTTCCTCTTCCAAACTTAGTATACACATTACTTGGCTGGTCATATAACTCACAGCAGTCAATCAGCAGAGAGCTTTCTCGACAAAGAAGACAGTCTTCTGATAGACGTTGCACAAACAAAATGTAGCCCAGGGGTTATGAGTAGATACACCTCTAACATGACGTGCCGAACTCGTATGTAAAGACAGCATTGCATCCACTAACTTTCGATTTCAGGGTCAGAGAGAAGGCATATAACATATTTCTGCTATAATTTTAGAGTTTTCTCTTTTCAGAAAATAATTACATGAGTTACGTTCTTCCGACTTCTCCATAACTCGAGTAATTATCTCCTTCTGATGGCTAGGCTGCCTCGTAAATAGTTGGTAACCTAACAGCAAAAAGTGTTAAAAAGTGCAAGCAACTGATCACTTAAATTATGGATGATACAATTTTGTATTTTCCTCACTTTGCCGATTATGGGCGCTATGTCAACATTTGATACCAACGCATGGATGTTTGTTTTGGGATAATATCTTGTTGAAGATTCAGGTAATCAGGAGTGAATTGGCACACATTTTTTAAGATTTTTCCTGACAAGCAAGGCTATAAAATCATTAAGAAGCAAAAGTTACTGAGGATAAAATAAAATGGAGTGAAGGAAAGCAAGAAAACTTTAATGGAGTGTTGTGGTGTCCTCCCTTTAAAGAGTCTATGTTGGACTCTTCCGCCTACTATAAAATTAGGAGGAGAGAAGGCCTTAGGGGAACAGTCGATTAGATTGAACGCTAGGTCAACCGACACACACTCACTAGTCGTGTAATACACTTCTGTTGTACTTACTGTTTGATATATGATATATCTGTAACATTTGTTTTGTTATTTCTTTAACCATTTACTTGGTCACAACATAGAGAGAAAGGACACCCCCCACAAAAAAAAAACAGGATTCAAAGAGCCAGGAAATGAAGTTGCAGTTGAATTTTTATAGTTTGTAGTTGTGCTACGTGATATCTGTTGTTCATTACGGCAGCGAATGTTGGACGATTTCCCCAAAGATGAAGCGACGGAAATGTGGTTCTACAGAAGGATGTTAAGGATATCATAGACCAAGCATATGAGCAACGATGATGTCTTGGAGAGGATGCAAACAAGGAGGAGGCTTATCCTTAACATCAGGAAAAGGCAGCTGAAGTTCCTGGGACACATAATGAGGAAGGAGGGCCTGGAGAATCTGATACGCACAGGTCAAATAAAGGGAAAGAGAGACAAGAGAAAACAACGCATGGCATACCTAGCGGGCTTAAGCAAGTGGATGACAGAACGTTGTCTGGGGGAGGGAGCAGAGGGAAGGAACTTGTTGAGAGCTGCAAGGGATAGAGGGGTGCAGCACGTAGAAAGAAAGTTTGTAGTTGAGTGGAAAGCAAGAAGCTGGAAGAGATTTCCATAGGCGAAAAGTACGAGAGGAGAAATTATTAGAATAGAACTTACGGTTACATTTAGCAATTTAAACAGTAAAACATGAGACCTAACCGCCAGTCTTGTACTACACTCCTTTTTTTTAAATCCTTTCAAAGTCTGTCTATATTTCTGAGACGAGGTATTGTAACTATTTACACTATTTACATTGTTCGGACTGCTGTCCTCATCTTTACTGTTACATTTACTACGTTTCGGCCGTTGTAAGATCGAGTCTTCTTCAGGATCTATATTTTTGAGATGAAGTATTGTAACTATTCACACTATTTACATTGTTCTGACCGCTGTCCTCATCTTTACTGTCACATTCACGACGTTTTGGCCGTTGTAAGTTCCAGCCTTCTTCAGGATCTATATTTCTGAGATGAAATATTGCAACTATTTACACTATTTACATTGTTCGGACCGCTATCATCATCTTTACTGTCACATTCACGATATTTAGGCCGTTGTAATCTCTTGCCTTCTTCATGATATGTCTATACTTCAGAGATGAGGTATTGTAACTATTTACATTATTTACATTGTTCGGACCGCTGTCATCATCTTTACTCTCACATTCACACCGTTTCGGCCGTTGTAATCTCCGGCCTTCTTTATAATATGTCTATATTTCTGAGATGAGGTATTGTAACTATTTACACTATTTACATTGTTCGGACTGTTGTCCCCATCTTTACTGTCATATTCACGACATTTCGGCTGGAGAGTACAACAGCCTAAACGTTGTGAATCTGACAGCAAAGTTGAGGACAATGTAAATAGTGCAATAATTTCAAATTCAATATTTAAATTTAATTAAATTCATAAATTCGATGAGCCAAGGAAGAAAGCTCATCAGAAAAATTGTCATGAGAATATTTATAGAAAAGACACAGGGAATCTGCGTTATGGCGATGGGAAAGTGACTGATTTCGAAATGCTAGATTCTTCTTTTGACTTTATCAAGAAATTTACGTCCTTATAATAGTATCATTCAATAAATGCTCTACTTACGTCGCTCTTTGACTTTGTATTAAGTGAACAATAGTATTAAAAACTTCCTTTAATACACGTTGTGAGTTAGAATCGATAAATAATGAATTTTATCATTTTACTAGCGCAGTGTCAAATCGATTCCTGACGTTTAAAGAGATATCTGTACTTAGTATTTTTTTAAATTTTTTTTAAAGAAATAACAAGTTTGAAACTGTGTTTATATAATCGAACCACCAGGAATTGTATCATTTCGCTTTTAGCCATGGTATTTTCGTATCTCCTGTAGATAGGAAAACAGATGCGAATTTGAATCTCATCAGAACATTTGTTGAAAATTTATGTAACTATGTACTTCAATAAATCTATTAACAATTATATCTAATCATTTTTCTAGGTGAGTGAGAATAAAATTTCCTCCCACTCCAAAAATATTTCGGAGTTTTAAGGTGTGGCAGATACTGACGTCATTGCTATAGATAAGAACGTCATCAGATTCTGTTTTGCACATGAAAAATCGAATCAAATTTCTTGCCCAACCTATTTCCCAAAATGGAGACATTTTGGAGTGTCATTCAGTGCAAGAAGGAGCATAAGTCTAGCTATCACGATAAATATTATAATAAAATTGTGAAGAACGCTCCTTAAAAGACATCCGATTAACATAAATAATATTTGAATTAGAACGGGGATATGACAGAAGATGAAAATAATTGGACAGAAATTGACTCGGTGTCATCACTCTTGTTTATACGCAACTTTCATAACTAGTGACCCTAGACGGGGAATGGCTTTCATGCAGGGCGCATTTATCATCGAAGCTTTAAAGGTACGGCCAAATATTTGTGTGCTTGGCGTTACATAGCAATGTTGTTTCGGATGTGCGGCTGGTGTAACTTATCAGCGCCTAAAATGGAATCGGCGAGGGGAGTTCAAATTTCAACCTGGCTTGCTGTGTTCATTTCCGCAGAAATGTCGCGGGAAAGGTATGAATCCATCCGTTTTCGCTCCTCAGCAATGGACTGCATATCAGAATTGACTGGACCCTCTTGACTTGGGCGGCAACAAGTCTAAGGGAAAGAAAAACCTGAATTCCAGTCCACTGGAGAAGGCAAAGGAAATGGATGAAACAAATATAGCAGAGAAGATTCATAACTGAGACCACAGAGAGAGAGAGAGAGAGAGAGAGAGAGAGAGAGAGAGAGAGAGAGTGGGGTTGCTTCTATCACTTGATCCAGGCGTTGGTGAACACAGGAACATGATTTACTAAAGTCGCACGGTTAATGAGGTGTATGAACATTTGATCAATGTCTTTGCAATTGGCAAGAATCTACACCCCTTACTATTTTCACTAAATGACTTGACACAGGTTTCATCAGAGGTTGACATATTGGTTGACGAAAATTGAAATTAAGTTAATTATGCCAAAAATCATAGGCAGTCGAAATATTTGTAAACAAGACAGAATCGTTACATCTAAAATGGCGTGTTTACATACGTGTAACATTTCTGGGCGGTAATGAAAAGGAAAGTGCTCAACCGAAATCCGAAGGCGTACCGAAATAGTGAAAGTTGCCTCCTATATGACAGTGAATGATGGACAATCTCCTCACAGATGAAGAAGTGACTTGAAACAGCAGAAATATGGTTCTACAGAAGGATTATGAGAATACTATGGACTGAATTATATGAGCAACAACAAAGTTTTAGAGAAAGTATTTAATCTGTCTCCTCACTAGGACGAGATGTGACACAAGGTTTATTTTTAGGTGGGGACCTGAACGCGTACACCCGGAACAAGAACAAAAATTCCTCTCAGCCCTCGCAACCGTCGGTTGCGCAGGCCTCGGTGCGAGCACCGATCACTCCCTCTGGTGCAATGGGAGGGCGCGGCCTCGGGCAGCTGTTCCCCAGGGCTAGGCACCTCTTCAGTATTATTTTCCTCAGTTGCCCTCCTGTCCTTTGACAGAGAAGCCCTTGAGTGCACTCTACCCAAAGACAGAGACGTAACTGAGAGATGACAAGTAGATGTGTAACAACTCAAAAAGAGTAAATTACACGTTACAAAGTTTTATAGAAAATAGAAACAAAAAGAACACTTATATTTGTCAGAAAGAGATTGAAATTTTTAGAGCACATAATAAGGAAAGAGAGCAAATGGAAAATTTGACACTCACAGGACAAATTGAAGACAGGAGGCAGAGAGGAAAACAACGCATAACCTACCTAACGAGCTTGCGTTAATGGTTGACAGAACAATGTTTAGGAGACATAGCAGAAAGACAAAATTTGCTAAGAGCTACAAAGTATAGAAATTGTGGAGAGCCATAATCCTGAAGTACATAGAAGAAGTATGAATTGTACGTATATATTCACATGAAATATATACACAAATTATCCAAGGGACATCGAAACCATGACGTTTTAGATATTTTTGAAGTGTACCGAGATATTCATTAATGCTAACCAAGATAAAAAAGGGTATTTAATAAGAACTTGACAAAATTCCTCGATATCAAATTTTCTGTTCTGCTTTGCAAGACACACAGGCCTTCGTTCGCCGACACGTTGAAACAGCGCATGCGCGTTTCTTCGCTGACAGCCGCACATGCGCAGTGAAGCTTTCAATGGCCCAGCAGATGTTTTTAGTTTGAACTGCACTGGAGTTTAATGAAATGTAATGTATTTCCGCTCACCAGCTGTAGACTGAGTCCAGACTCTAATATTTTCGTTCAAGTAAACCGCAGGTGCATTTCTTGTTACTGTTGGGTGATGGTGGAGCGATAGACCGCCATTTAATTTGTATTTAATAGCCTCATACAATCACAGGTGGGCAGTTTACTGGGGAGGTGGTATAATATCTGATGCGGTGGTGGCATGAGGTCTCAAACCGCTATAACTGTTAAGCAAGGACATTCCTTCTCTCTCTCTCTCACGCACATACGCACACAAACACACACACGCGCGAGCGCGTGCGCATACACACAGACACACACATATGTGTGTGTGTGGGGATATAAGTAATAAAATACCTACCCAAATTCACCAAATGTATATATATAAAATGCCTACCCAAATTCACCAAATAAATATATATATATATATATATATATATATATATATATATATATTTGTGTGTGTGATTATAAAAAAAAAATACCTACCAAAATTATACGATATATATATATATATATATATATATATGAGTGTGTGCGTGATATAAATAAGTAAATGCCTACCCAAATTCACCAAATATATATTTTCATTTATACAAGTAAGGTTAAATATCAACGAAGATTATTTGCTATGGAATTTAAAAAATCTATATTTCCGATCACTTTATTATTTTATAAAATTGCCCAGTCTTTGAGTAATTTCGGCTATCGCTGGACATTATCAGTTTTCCTTATTTTCAAATATCGCGTTTCCGCGTCTGATTGTACGTGTCGACATTATTTTTGTTGAAAAAAAGCCAAACGTTTTGACAATAGCTACACTTAGACCAAAGTACTCGACCATAAGATAATTTTTGCCTAAAAATGTCATACATCGAAAAATTTATATTTAAATATGTACTAGAAATCATGAAAATGATTCAAAGTATAGAAAAATAAAGTGAAAAAAAACATTTAACATATAATTTCCGTTTATCTTCAATCAAACTTCTATAACTGAATCTCTCTCTCTCTCTTTATATATATATATATATATATATATATATATATATATATATATATATATATATATATATATATATATATATACACCATAAAAAACAACTTAGACAAAAAGAATTAAATAGCAATTTTAATGTGATTAATAGCGAAATCACTTCGCTAACAGGACTTAATGAGACATTAGCTAAACTATCAGTTCCTTGAATAATAAGATCCTTATATTCGAGTCGTTGTCAGATGGAAGACACATGCCAAGCACTTTCAACAATTTCAAATTGTCATCTTCACTGCACAATTTTATTATATATGGCTATATTTTTTTATATATAGCATATATAAGAAAATTGTGCCCTGAAGATGACAATTTGAAATTTTCGAGAGTGCTTGGCACGTGTCTTCCATCTGACAACAACTCGAATATAAGAAACTTACTATTCAAGGAATTGATAGTAAGTTAATGTCTTATTGAATTCTGTTGTGATTTCATTATTAATCACGTTAACATTTCTATTTAATTCTTTTGTATAAATTGTTTCTTTGTGATATAAAATTAAGCTGCACTCTAATATATATATATATATATATATATATATATATATATATATATATATATATATATATATGCTGAATGACAAGGATTTTCACGCAAAACCATCTTTAGGGTTTTAAAAAGAATGGTCCATGGGGGCAATTCTGTGGTTGGAAATCCCTTGTTGGTGAAATAGGTCAGAAAACTATCAAAATAAATGTCTCTTGAAGTGGACATCTAAAAATGTGGCACGAGAGGACAGAAATAATTCTAGTTGTAGTTGGAGACATCGGATTTATTAGGAAATATTCCGATAGATTCATTGAAGGGGTCCCTGGTAGCCCTCGCCATAAATAATACAACAAAATTGTTCTCGCAAGTAAAGCTGACAATTTACGAAAGGATTTACCTAAGTAAAAAATATGTACTCTTAGGGAGTTTTATTTGTAATTTTATTTTATTTTATTTTTTTACAAAAAGTTCAGTGAAAATGTGATGATTCTATTTCTGACCATAGGTCTCTTGTTGGGACCTTGAAAAAAATCAGTATGCAACAAAAATCAAAGGAAATAATAATAATAATAATAATAATAATGATAATAATAATAATAATAAATGCACTGATCTTACACCGGGCATGGCTTTCATGCTTTCTCATCTCAATTGATTTGAGATGTTAGCATACACATGTTTTATCTTGCTGAATTAATATGGGCTCCAGTAAATATCCCGTTCTCCTATCACAGATTTGTTTTTCACTTTTGCCTGAACAGAATCACTTGGGCACGTCACCTAGAAGCTGATGCATGTTGTTTTTCATTTCATGCGCGGGACTAGCAGAAGATCATCAATCCCGATCATCGAGAGCGTCATTATTTTAAGTTTGAAAGATGAGGCACCCAAGGTGACTAGATACTTGGGAACACCCTCAATCGGAGACTTTCTGAGTCGACTGGGTTTCTCGACCTGAAGTAATTTCTAACTGGGCATTTACCTGCAAGTTTAGGTGCTGCTTTTATCAAAAACTGTTATCATAACACGCATATTTGATCGTGATGCATACAACTGGTATACTCTTATCAGACTAAGTATATTGGTCTTTGTATAATTTTAACCCAGTGTTAATTACTACTACTACTACTACTTCTACTATTACTACTACTACCACTACTACTACTACTATTACTACTACTACTACTAATAGTTCTGTTATATTTGCTTTTCAAGTTGAAACGCCAGTTCTCGTCCGATCACTGAAGTTAAGAAACATTGAGCTTGGTCTGAACCTAGATGGGTGACCGCTTGGGAATGTCAGGTGATGTAAGCTTAGGTGTGTGGGTGGTGTAATGGATAACTGCTCAGATTGAAAAAGGGAGCCGTGTTCAAATTCCAGTCGGGTTTATTATATTCAATTACGCGTAAATGCACAAATGGATCCTTCTTTAGGCATATCGTCTAGTTCTTATTTTCATTACTGCTCAGTTATTGCTTGCCCAGTTTCCACCGAGTTCTACGGGACACTAACCTAGTGAACGAAAGCGCTAGTTCATGAATTTGGTGACATAGTAAATGTGAGTTCAATCCTTGGGCCGGGCAGTGTATCCTTGGACGATATCCCTAGTCATGTGGAGTAGAACGAGAACAGCCTACTCCCGTAGATTAAATAAAGGGTTCAGAATTCCCTGTAAGTTACCCAGATTGATATGCACCTGATGAAGGCCGGAGGTCACTTCGGCTGAAACGTTGTGTTTAGAACAAGAAATATGAAAATAGTCCGAATATAAATACTGTAAATAGAAATTATCATACCAGTGCTGACGCTCCACACTGTAATACGTGAATGAAAACACAATACACTTCTATAAGTCGTAATATTAGTAGTAGTAGTAGTAATAGTAGTAATTCTCCTTTTTCTTCTTCTTCTGATTACAAATGGTATGATTATAATTAGTATTATTATTTCGTAAGATAACCACACACCATCAATTTGAGATAAGGTACAAATACCCGGAGCCTAATATACCCACTATGACTTCTCTTCAGTTGGGGTTCAAATAATAAAAACAAAATTTAAATACCGATTTTCCAGGTATATAGGCCATATACTTGGTGCACTGGTGCAATATAAACTTTCTAATTACCATCCCCTTTCAGTATTCGTCTTTCTATTGGACGAACCGAAACTTAGCAATTATCAGTATATAAACCTGCGTACACAAGTATGAATGTTCCTAAGGCTGCATTTAAGGTTTCACTTTAGCTTTAGCCTACTCTCTCAATACCACCGGTGTTTGACATGTTTGTGTACATACCTCGAAACAAGTGCATTGAGTGTTGATTTAAACGTTACATATCCTCATCGTTTTTTATTTTATTTTATTTTTTTACTCTTGTGAAAGAGAATTAGAAATTGGCGCGCATCGCTTTGGCTGTCGAGCTGACACCTAATTGCCTGCCACAAAATATGGCAAACGAGAGGAAAATGCTCATTTTATTAGCGAAAAAAAAACAAAACATTTTTTTACAGGGCGGGGTCAATTACAGATTTTCACCCACTCACATATTTTTTTCGTATATACAAGAGGAAAAAAGCCGTTAATAAATTAAGCGCGTTTTTAACTTTTAAAACTTCGTGAGAAGACTTGCCTGCCTAGAAAATCGGCATTCGTAATCTTATTTATTTTATATTCGAACACTGCTTAATGGAGCCATTGATATATATGTAAATACACTTAGAAGAGGAGACCCTTATATTTTGAGGACATTGTTAGACTCCCCCATCGAACTTATAACCATCCCATTTGTTAATTTCGCAGTTTAATAATCTCCCAACCCGAATTTTTATTAAGAACAGCCGTTTATTGCATCCTGAGAAAAATTCCTCTCCCCGCCCCCACATTTATTAAGACTCCTCACTTTTATTAGGTTGATGCAAATTACAAATTGGAATCAAAATCAAACACGTAAAACAATTTAAATATCTGAGAAGTGTTTTAACAGAAAATAGAAAGGGTGACATTTAAATCCGAAGGCACATTGTGATAGCGAAAGATGCTTTCCAAAATATAAGCAAAGTATTAAGAAACAAGAAATATTCGTTAGAAAGAAAAAATGTACTGAGCTGTTACATAATATTAGTTCTCCTATATGGCAGTGAATGTAGAATCAACAGAAATGTAGTTTTTACAGAAGAATACTGACAATGTCATGGAGCGAACGTGTGAGCTACGACAAAGTTGTAGAGGAAATGGAAATTAAAAAAGGAGACTTATGTTTAACACCAGAAAGAGACAGTTGCAATTTCTAAGGCACATAATAATGAGGAAAGGGAGCTTGGAATATTTGATACTCACAGGATATACTGAAAGCAAGAGAGACATAGGAAAACAACGCATAATCTACCGAGCGAGTTTGTGTAAATGGATGGCGGAGATATGAATGTTTAAGTGAAATATCAAAAACAGAAAATATATTGAAAAATTGTAATGGGCGATGATTGCCAATGTTCCGAAGGGACACGGCATATGGAAACAGTAGAATATTATTTCTGTCATGGAGTAGGCGTCGTATCTTTACTAATTTTAGCCTAAAAATGGTCAAGGTCAAATCTGGAGGAGGGAGATATCAGAAAGATTGCGCCAACCCAGGAACAAGTTATTTAGCGTAAAAAATACATAATTTGCAAGCCGGTTTTGGTTTGTTTTTAACTGGTCTCGAACCCGAATCTCTGGTGCCAGTGAGAAGTATACGCTTCTCTTAGCTATAAGGTCGATCTGCATAAAAGTTTCCATGAAGTCTGTTAAATTCTAGCAATCATTTCTGTAGATATTCAATAAGAACTTTTCAGCCATTTTCATTTTGTTTTAATTTAGTTGAACAAATTTGGAAAACTTTATGGTAGACACAAAAATATAAAACCCTTCACACATAGATTAACATCTATCTTTGAAAATACGAATCTGTTTCGCTGAAATAGCTTGTTTGGCTTGAAGATTTATGGGATAAGAAAAAAGCGTCTGCTGAAAAAAGATGCTTTGTATGTGTCTGTGTGTGCGTGATAGATAGATAGATAGATAGATAGAGCGAGAGAGACAGCAACCAATCTGCCATGATCAGTGGTTGAACAAAGACAGTAGGATCGAACACTAGGTTACGATTTGATTTCGGACTAGCTTCCAATCAGTTTCGTCCACCAATTTTGATTCACAATGCTTTGGTCAACCTGTGGGTATAGTTTTCAGGCATTTTTTAACAGTTTCGCACCCCCCAGGCTGATTTCTTCAAAATAGCCAATTGGCAATGGTGAGTCGAATATAAGTGTCGTATTCAGAACGCTAACACTGTAATCACACTTCAACATTAATAAAATTGCAAGAATAACACAATAAAATAAACGGTAGCGTCGATATTTGTTAGCGAGTTGTTTCTTACAAGAAGGGAACAAAACTTCTTGTTTTAATGTGATTTTTACATATATTTAACACTAAATATATCAATAGTATAATTATCTCGGTAGAAACGAATTTCAGGACTCACGTTTTAATCTTCTAATATATATATATATATATATATATATATATATATATATATATATATATATATATATATATATATATATATTACGTTAATATCGAAACGGTCCGGGTTCGATTCTCGGTAGTGGATGCGCACTGCTGATGAGTCCCAGATATGGGACGAAATGGCCGTCCAGTGCTTTCTGCATTCTGTTGAGAATTATTCTATATGATTAGCCTAATCCCCCCATATATATATATATATATATATATATATATATATATGAAATAACGATACCTATTTTTTATATATCAAGAAGTAGTGAATTGTTTTCTCCATTGCCGAATGAATTCACCTAGGTACAAACGAAAATTGAAAAAATTCTAAAATTTCCAGCACCCCTAGTTCGTGTGCATGTGTTGTACGAACATAACAAAAGACGAAACGCGTCACAAGTAAACTTTTTCTATGCTTCTTGAAAACGAATCACAAAGCACTTCGATGAAACTTTTTATTAAATTTTTCTTGCATTCGTACAAGTGATGTCTTTTCTGGATATAGAATGTGTAAAAGCTGTCCAAATGATCTGTGAATTCGAGCGCTTTCAGCTAATATATTAGCCATTATCAATTATTTTTTTATTTAAATGAACATGTAGTTTTCTCTCTCTCTCTCTCTCTCTCTCTCTCTCTCTCTCTCTCTCTGTATATATATATATATATATATGTCCAGGTAAAATGTGAACAAATGCAGTATATTTCCACTGTACTCAATATTTAATTTAAAAGAGAAGTCACAATACAGAGTAAAGCTAAATCTTATTTATTTTAGGATATTAAAAGAAAAAAAATGTTAAAAATCGCTACACAATTACAATTAAGTTTCGACACTACAAATATGTCTCCTCAGGTGATGTTAAACTACGCCAACATAACAAATAGTAGTTGTTTTAACATCACTAAAAATGTGTCGAAACATAATTGTAATTGTGTAGCGATTTTTAACATTTTTTTTTGGTTTAATATCCTAAAATAAATTATATATATATATATATATATATATATAGGATGGGTAAATTGTCGACATAACATAGTTTTAATTCCGCGCATGCGCGTTGCTTGTTTTTAATTTTGTCGACTGCACAGTATAGTAGGATCTTTTGGGCGCCGTCTGTAAGAAAAAGAGCGCCAAGACGCAATTCACTCCGCCAGAAATTTAGAAACGGCATGTTGTACTTCTTGCCATTTGCACCGGAAGCCCCAATACAAACATTTCAGAGTGTTGAGGTGTCAATCTGACAGTGAAGAGGTTTCGGAGACAGTTAGATGAGTCTAATGGTGATCACGAAGGTACGGCAGCTCGGTAAACTCATTCGGATCGTTTTGACAAGAAAAAATCTCCCGAATTTGTTAGTTAGGGCCTCAGACTCAACATGGAGGCCTACATCAAGAACCCGAATAATGCTGCCCTGGATCAAGAGGGTGGGTGTTGGAATAACCCTATGTCTGGCAATAGGTCTCTGCACCATGCCACACAAACAGGTGAAACCAGTCATGTTTCTCAGACAATTTCTATTCTTATATATATATATATATATATATATATATATATATATATATATATATGTGTGTGTGTGTGTGTGTGTGTGTGTGTGTGTGTGTGCGTGTATACTATTGTTATAAGATCGCTTGATGTGATCATGAACACTGGCAATCTTTTCTTTCCTGATTTTTGAATGAGTGGCAGGTATACGTGAATCTCGCCAGATAAAGGCAGCGCCCCGTTTGTTCAAAATTCACTCCTTTCGTGA